AACCACCCAAACCGCTCAACCCGCTCAAATCTTGCTGGAAAACCGCTCAAACCGCTCAAATCTTGAGCGGTTATTGAGCGGGATCTCGACCCGGGAAGTTGGGAGCTAATTTGAAAAGTCAAGATTTTCTTTGAGATTTAACAAAGATTCTTCAAGGTTTTTCGAAGATATCAAAGATTGATGGACTTGGGACGCACTTTTGAAACTTAACTTTCTGTACGCGACAGACGTCTCTCACTTTCAGTCGAGACCCGCCAAGATATAATTTTTGCATTTCTTCATTTGTGAAGCTCTGAGTGGTTGACCGCAAATAGCAAAACAGCTCAGCTGACATCCCGGGTTGAAGTCCCACCGTTAATTATCGCTTTTTCTGTAGTCTCCCAGTGATCGCTTTTTTCCAGCGCTGATTCATGTATAAATCAGAGTTTTTTTTGCTGAGCTAAACCTGCGATATTTCAGAGCTATTTCAGTAAGGATTCAGTAGAAAATCATCGCTAAACCTCAAGAAATTTCAACTCATTCCAGGAGCTTCAAATTTCCCGGGTTGACATCCATTCACCAAAAATGCTTATCATACAATTCCATACATCAGGTGTGTGGAAAAAGGCTTGTCATACAATTTTCATACAGTTTCTAAAAATGGTTGAAAAAAGATATAAACTCATTTCTGTGGCTGTTTGATTCTAATAAAACAGTCTGGTAAAAAAAACCGAGGTTTTCGTTTTTTGAAAAAAATGCTTATTATTTAATTCCCATATATGGAAATTGTATGACTGGCATTTTTTTGATGGCGACACAAAAATTTTTGAAAAATTTTCCCAAAAACTTTTAGTTTTTTCAACCGTAAATCGAATTTGGTACGCAAACAAACATTTTTCGAAATTTTTTTTTTGCAGGTAAAATTTATTTTTTTGTGTGCATAACATAGTCCTGGTTACAATAATATTCGCTTTTATTTTCTTTTGACTTATTTTTTTTCTTCATAAACGCTGAAAATTCCTATTTCCTTTGTATGGGGTGTTTATTTATGCCTTGATCAATGTCTGATAATTTGAAAATTCAAAAATTTAAAATAATCAACATTAAAACATTTTGCCAAAAACTAAAAGTTTGTTGCTTTTGTTATATCAATTGTGAAAGACAGCCGAACTCAGGTTGTTTTCTATGCATTGTAAATGCAAAGACTGTCCAATTTTTGGTGCTTTGAGTAACCAAGGTCTTTGTCACTTGTGTTCGGCTGCAAACACAACCGAAAACTTTTCAGAAATAAATTTAGAAAGAAAAAATCAAAATTTTTGGTTTATGGAAAAACATCTTTCATACAATTTTCATTTATGGAAAATGGTTTATGATAGAGATTTCATACAATGTTCTGTACGTATGGCATTGTATGGAATTGTATGACAAGAAGTTTCTCATATATGGGATTTGTATTATAAGAAGTTTCGGTCATCCCGGGCATACAATTTCCTTTTTTGAAAAATCACTAATCATAGACTTTTTATGCAATTTTTGGTACGTATGGAATTGCATGAAAAGTATTCTGATGATTCGATTTTTTTTGATATATGAAAACTGTATGACTAGCTTTTTTGGTCAACCCGGGAGCTTTGTCTATTTTTTTCTGAATTTCCCACAACTTTTTTTTGCTGCGACTCAAGGCCGTTTTTTGCAACTAAAATTTTCACGTGGTGCAGCCGAAATTGGACAGGCTGTGGTAGACCTGAAGCCAAAGATCAATTGAGAGCTCATCCTCACACACTATTATTGCCATCACAGCGGATCGATTACGCCATCCGAATATCACGAAGTGAACGCCTTACCACTATGCTAAGTGCCTCTGACTTTTGAAAAGTAAGCTATTAGCGAACAAAAAAAGCATTTGTACTTTACATAGCGAGTGGAGGGATGATTTTCAAAACAAAATTCATAAAAAAACTTGAACATTTTTTCACAGCGAACACTACTACATAGACCTTAAGAAACAGTCCGACCGTTCAGGGCTTCGCCTTGATACGAGCAATCTTTTTCTAGAACGAATAGTTTTTGTGTTTGTCAAAAAAAATCATTTATTAAAATTTTTCCATTTAAATTTTTTATCATCTTCTTCAAAATTGAAGACTACATCAATAATTTGTTCAGCCTTGTTATAGCTAGAAAACACTCAGCTACGAGTATAATTCATGTTCATGGGTATTTTGTTTGCTCAGGTCTAGTTTGATTTCGAACGAGGAATGGGACAATCTCTACGAGGAGGCTGAGGGGTACCTTAAGAAGACTCAGAGTGACTCTGCAAAAGGTATCGTAGATTCCTTAGACCTCAGCGACCCCAAATAAAAAAGTATTGAGTACTTCCAAAATGCCTCGCAAAATCATAATTCAGATTCTACAACAAAATTAGTTGATTTTTTTTGAACTACAGCAACAATATTTGTTTATTTCCAAAATAATACTATTGTGGCAAAGGGTAATCATTATCAGACCACCGCCATATAAACCCAATAAAAATAGACTTGAACACTAAAGATATGCGTCCGTGACCAGTGGGACCCTCGGAAATATCAGCGCAACCTGCGTGACCCAAGTAAAGGTAACTCCATCCCAAGCAAAGCATACGCGACCGACGTGAAATATCTTCGATTGAATATAAAAGTTTGATTTTTCAGTACAGTTAAGTCAAATTATTTATGGGCGTTCTGATTCTGTTTTTGGTTAACTGCATTACGAGGTCAAAATGTGCACTGGGGTGCAAAATTTGGTGTTTCTATGTTCCTGGATTCCAAAGACAAGTCTTTAAACATGTTTCAAAATGTAAATGGATTCCATTTACAAACATTCTGTGGATTCCACTTTCAATTACCTGTAACGTAAAGTTGTTGACGCCATATAAAATACAAGCGATAGATTTCGCTCCTAGTAACAAAACAATTATGGCGAATAAGCTTCCTTCAACAAGTTTGGAACGATTTCTAAGACGGATTAAATCTCCGCTTACCCGTTAATAGCGCGGGATCTACTTAACAATCTGTCCCCCCTATTGTATCTACTAAAGAATATTCACCCCTGCAAAAAAAAACATTAAATTCGCACTAGAGCGTTGTATGTAAATTCAAATTTTGCTGCATTCTGATTGGCCGGAATTTAGCTGCAAGTAAGCCACTTAACAATCTCCCCTTCGTCCCCCCTTCTTGAAAGGGGGCGAGGTTGTTAAGTATATCCATAGCGCGAAATATATCGCGCGTTAATTGTCCCAAATTGGCAAAACGGCGATTTTTTTTTGCCAAATTGGCAAAACACGATCACAAGTGAAAATGTTTTTCAAATTTAATCTCAGAACAACGATACCTTTTGAATGATACAAAAAAAAAATCCCGTCAAAAATGGCTAGTTAAAAAGTCGAAATTCGTTTGAAGGAAAAAACTCACCCCGAGCACAAATATTGCGTTACGTTTGTTACGAAAGTCGGAACAATTACACCAATAAGAACAAGACTGCTCGTATCAGGGCGAAGCTTTGAATGTTACGACTGCCTTTTAAGGTCTATGGAGCAGTAATAACTTGATAAAATTAAATGGAACAAAATATAATGATTTTTTTAAAATTTGAGATTTAGTGTGTGAAAATCATCCCCCCACACGTCATATAAAATACAAAGGATAGATTTGGAACGATTTCTAAGACGGATTAAATCTCCGCTTACGCGTTAATAGCGCGAAATATATCGCGCGTTAATTGTCCCAAATTGGCCAAAATGACCATGTTTAAACCCCCATACCTTTACGAAAAATGATCACAGATGAAATATTTTTTCAAATTTAAGCTCAGAACAACGATGCCTTTTGAATGATACAAAAAAATCCCGTCAAAAACTCGAAATTTGTCTGAGGAAAAAACCCCACCCCGAGCACAAATATTTTGTTACTTTTGTTGCGATAGTCGGAACAACAATATGAATTCTAATGATTTGATTCAAATGAATATTATCTTAGCAACGTATTTAATAACAGGATATTTTTTATATTGTTATTTGGTGAGAAGGAAATTCGAACAGGTAAGAATGGAATTTAATTGGTGAGAACTAAAACCAAATTTTTTATTTGCTTTAATACCTTATAGAAATTGTTCCAAATTGATTGAAACAAGCTATTTAACATAACTTATACGTTAATAGAAGCGAAATCTATCACTTTGTACTTTAAATGGCGTATGGGGGGATGATTTCAAAAATAAACCCAAAATTTTCATTTTTTAAAGCGAACACTGCGTCATAGACCTTAAAAGACAGTCAGAACATCCAGGGTTTTTCTCTGGTACGAGCAGTCTTGTTTGATTTAATCACCGGCTGAGGTAACGAACGCAAAATCCGAAGAAACTTATTTCATCAGAGGACCTGAAACTAAAGGTTACTTTTTCATTGTAATGCAAGAAGATTCTACACACAGAGAATTTTTCTTATAACAATTAGAAATAAATTATAGGGATTTTAGGATTGCACTAACAAAATTGAAGATTTCTAACTCTGTATTCAGTTTAACTTATGAAAACTTGTGTTTTCAATAAATAGTGGATTCACTTGGAAAATGTTTTATTAACAAATACTGCCTTAAGAGCTGTAGAAAGAAACTTGATATAGAAATAAAAAGATCAGTGCACGTTAATAATAATTTTAAGAAGAAGATAACATTTTTTATATCTGAAATTTTTTTTTATAAAACTCAGATTAACCCAGATTTTTTGTCAATTCAATGCCATGTGTTATTTGTTTTAGGCTCAAATTCCGGCTTTTGTTATGATTAGCCATGAAATATAAAATCTGAATTGTCCCATTTTTCAATTCCATTGACAAAAAAAACCGCCCTAAGTCGTTTTCGAGGAATTTAACACAAATATGAACGTGCTTCGACTTTGCAGGAATACGGGGAGCTTTCAGATTCAAACTACAAGCCTCAAAATCTGCCTCTCAGCGTTCACAGGCGCAAGGACAAAGACACCTTCTGTAAATGGGCTCGGCGGCATTTATTCTCGGTGAATATGCGTCGCAGTCGGCAGTCGACCCTGTCGACGAAACCGAGGAACAACCAATGGGAACCCGAAGGTTCGTCATCAAGGAACAGCGCATTTGTCGTCGTCTTGTGTTCGACGAAAATGAGCCGACAAAGATTCGATACGCAGTGGTTGAAAATCTGTTGCATGGAACGTCCATGAATGTTCATGCGACCCAATTTGTAATTTGTGGGGGCACTGTTTTGGGCGCACAGCTGCTGTATGCGTCAAACATTCGTCCAGAAGCTCTAGGCAGGTTCGAAAACTTCGCTTTCAATAAAACATTCCAGCGAAAAAATTTCCCAAATATGCATTTTTTCAAACAAAATTTTATGTTTAGTGTCAATAGGAGATTTTTTCGAAATCTCGCCCAAAAAGGGTTTAAAACGGTACGCACGTGACATACAACAACTCCAACTGAAGTATCTAGAACTAGGGATATAAAAAATCACCGAAGTGGGTTAGTCGGAACCAAAAAGAAATCATTTCAAAAATATTTTTTCTGATGTTTTTTTTTGCAAAGCAGTTTTGAAAGTACTAGACGCCTAAAACGTACTAAATCGTGTACTTAATTGCGATCTGCGAAACGTATTTGGGAAATAATGTCGAAAAAAAAAGATTTCATTATTCGACAAAACTTTGAAATCATTCAACATTACTATTACCCAACACTGCAATTTGTAGATATATTCTTTTTACTGTAGATATTTGACTGAACAGCCTTTGGCCTTCTGCCAAGTTGTTTTGAGCAGAGACAAAATCGAGTCAATTCGGGAGGATCAAAGATTCAAGAAGGACCTCGATATCCATCAAGAACTTCATCCAAATGATCCGGTTCCGATTCCACTGAATGACCCAGATCCCCAATGCTGGATCCCTGTGAGTTCTGGACGACCATGGCACTGTCAAATTCACCGGGATGCTTTCGCGTTCGGTGACACTGCTCCACATATCGACCAGCGACTAGTCGTCGACTTCTGGTGGTTTGGTCTGGTGAAACAGGTCCCCGAGAACCGAGTGACATTTTCGGACAAGAATCATGACATATTCGGGATGCCTCAATCGACATTTCATTTCGAGGAGTCAACCGAGTTTGCCGACCAGAATCACGACATGCTGCACGACATGGTACGCGCTACTAAGGAACTCGGCGGGTACCTTCCTGGGAGCTACCCGCAGTTTATGCAACCCGGTACCTCGCTGCACATGCACGGGCATACTAGAATCGGAGAGGATCCAAAAACTTCAGTCGCTGATCGGAACTCCAAAGTATGGGATACTGATAACCTCTGGATTGGAGGCTGCGGCTGCATTGACACGGCTATCGCATGCAATCCTACCCTCACTGCTTGTGCTCTGGCCATTAAGGCCGTAAATGACAGCATGTTGGCTCCTAACGAATAGAAGAAAAAGGAAATTGTGCTGCGAAATGAACTCAAGTTCACATATGGAGAAACGTGAAAACAATATTTGTTGAATACAAAAACTGACAAGGTGTTATATAAAAAGTGATGTTTTGGTGTCTTCGCGAATCAAGCTTATTTTTTCTTTAACCGCCTTTGTGAGCACCAGAAAAGGATAAAGTGTGGCTGTGAATGATCTGATCTAATTATTTTTGCACAATTTTATCTACAGTAAACGTATTTATAAATCAAAGTTTGGCGGCATTTTTGTTATCAATTTTTATTTAAGCCTTCCTTAGCTTCATTTGATGCTGTGTTCAGAGATGAAATTGTCTTCACAGCTATGCGGTTATCCTGCTAAGAGATATTTTTTAATCTTGTTATTCCTAATCTATTTTCTCTAATCTGATGAAATTGGTGAATCTGTCTTTCAGCTGCCAAGAAGCCTGTGAAATTTTGAAAACTTTGAAGATTGAATACTGATTTATAATTCTAACGCGAACTGAGTTTTCAAAAAATGAACGTTTTCCAGCGTTTTTTCTTCGATAGTTGATTTTCTTATAAAATAAATATCCTCTGTTGGAGTTGCTCCACGGATTGAGGTGCTCGAATCATGTTTTGACGTTGTAAGTCGAGAAGGTGCAGTTTTGACTGAAATTCCGCGGTCAAGAAGCAATTTCAGGCCGAGCACAAAGTCGAAACATACCTGATTTCGATCGAGAAAGTCGTCGACACATAGGTCGAGTACAGTGGAGCACATTGCAATTTTTCAAAACATTTTTTTTTCAGAATATTAGTTAAATTGGAGAAAAAACCTATGGTAGAAAGTTGCAATCAGCAACAATCACTTGAGGAAATTTGCTTAGCGCGATTAAAAGTTTCGCAGTAACCCTTCATTTTTTTGAGATCTATCTTAGGTTCCTTGCGGCAAAAAAAGTTAAATATACCGAGGTCTCATCAAATCTCATATTGTTCAGATCAACAATTTCACTCCCTATTGGTAATGAAAAAAGAAAAAAGTTAAATTATTCTTTATGTAAAAACAGTTTTCGCCGACGGAAATGCGCAAGTTTGATACAGAACATATAAAAATTGAAAAAATCATCTAAAAAGTAAAACATGATTTTTTGTCGATTTACTCAAATTTTTCTTAGTCTCGCCTTTTTTTTCAGATCATTTTTCTCGACAAAAGTGTGCCATTCTGCCGGAAAGAAAAGAAAGAAAACGAATAAAGGCCTTAGTAAAGAAAAATTACTGCGAAAGAGGGTCTAGATATTCCGAAAATTCGAATTTTTAAAATTTCGAATGACGGGCCAATATTTCTGAGAAATACAAAAAGACCGCCATTTTGACTAAAAAGGACGAAAAAACAGAACAACAACGACGGAGATAGCAGAAACGGTCGCACGAAAGAACGAGAGAAACGAAGCCTCTTATCGTGGCAATAACACACGATAAGAACCTTAGCAGTGGAAATTGGTGGAAAAGGAATATTCCACGGAACCCTCCCGTGCCACAAATTGGGAGAGATAAGAACGTTATCTCGAGAAGAACACGGGAGCGGAGGCTTGGCCCCCCAGAGACTGTTGTATGTGAAGGGACTATATAAAACTGACTTTTTAGCTACTTGGATGTCGTAGAACTTTGAATTAACACCGGTATTATTTGATATTTTAGAATATGAGTAGCTAGAAAGAGGAAAGGGTCAATCCATCTCGTCGAATAAAAGAATGGATTGATGGAAGTTTTTGACAAACATGCTGAGAACTACATATATAGGAGATTTCTTTCAGAAGGGACGACACTTTTTGGGATTCCAGGGACATAGCAGAAAATGGCTAATTGAAACTGATAACTGTCAAAGCTACAAATAATTGCAGTGGGTATGAATTGAATCAAAAGCGCGCTCATCATTGGATTCCACAAAAAACACATGTTCATTGGTGCTCAAAGTTAACACAAAGCTCCATGAAATCGCTCGCCAACCAAAAGCCAAGTCTTACGCGTCTTTGTTGACTATTTGTTTCTGGATTTTTTCGTGTTTCTCAGTTTTTATTTTTTTTTAACTAGTTTTTTAAGTTTTTTTTTCCTTTTTTTCAATTTTTTTTCATTTCTTTAATTTTTTCATATACACTTTCAATTCAGGCACGATTCAGTCGAATTTTATTCAGAATATCTTTTGTTTTTAGCCTACAAAAGAAGACAACATTTTCATTTGTGAAATCATATTTAGTTTATTGAGAGGTCACTTTTGAGCTAGGCTTCAGCATCGTCCAGGCTGTTATGAAAAAATTGCCGGTGATGACCAAAATGAAATCGGCGATTTCGACGAATGTCACCATGCTCCCCCCAATCAGCAAACCGAGAAGACCCCCGACTGCACTGCTAGCCGAGAACAACTCGTATTTGGCGCTGACGATCGTGTCCACAGTCGTAAATGACGCCATGTGAACTGTGAGCATGCCTAGGTTTTTGCGGGCGTAGTCGTAGTCCACTGAGACATTGCTGCCGATCACTCCTCTGATCTGTCGGAAGTCTCGTCTGTTTGGAAATTCGCTCCAAGTTTTGTCCATTTTGTATTTGGTGAATCCGCACTGAGGCTTACAGCGGGCACCACACTTTTCTAAAATCAAAACAACGATTGGAATTTTTTTGGAAAAAAAGGTATTACATACAAATTACCAAGTTCTGACAAATTTAAATGATACAGAAAGCAAAAAAATTGACAATTTGGGATTTTTCTGCCAACCACCGTAGCCCGAAGACAAGAAATAAATATAAGCCAGACGTTCAATGCTCGCATCGAAGCAAAATCCTATTAACAACAAATCTATATTTTTAAAAAAGATGCTACCGAAACATGACCGCGAGATACAAAAAAGCAAATAAATACGACGAAATATTTCATAACTGCGACGAAATATGGTCAGGTCGAAGTCTTCTGAGATGCAGAGAAAATGGATAGAGATCAGCCTTACCTGTTTATAGCGAAACAACCCTGAAGGAAGTTAAAGATCGAGCGATCATGCAATTCATCACGCCGAGATTCGGTACCGAAACCAAAAGCGAGCCACTTGCTAACGAGATGATCCAAAACTGCAAACTGATTATAAAGAGGCAGAGAACAATGTATTCAGAGAATAGTTGAATAGGATTGAGTAACATCCAATTGTCAGGTTTAAAATGATATATCAGAAAACTTAAATTAAAGTTTCGGCGCACAGACAATTCGGCCAAAGACAATTCAGCCAATTCAGCCAAAAATATACAGACAATTCAGCCTGAGACAATTCAGCCAGTTTTACATAACGCTAGATTCGAAAGAAAAAAATCGGAAATGGAGTTATTTCTTGGTTTAAGGTCACCGGTGGGCGCGCTACGCGCGCGTCGCCGCTTTGCGGCGATAACCGGCTCTAAATTTCGTATAGAGTCCTACTCTCTGTTGGCAAGCTCGCAACACGTTGGCGCGACTGCGGCGGTCATTATTATTGGCTGAATTGTCCTCTGGCTGAATTGTTTGCATACTTTGAATTTCAAATCGGCTGAATTGTCTTTGGCCGAATTGCCTGGACGCGGAAAATTTCTTCTGGTGCTACTGCTGTTACTTTGATTAACAACTTGTCAGCGAAAAAGAGTAAGAGCGAACGCGCCACACACCTCTATCTTAAAACAAAATCCATTATACACCCAAAAGTAATAGCGCTTTCAGGAGCGTGGCTTTGTGATAACGGCAATCATAAACACTTTATGTTTGAAAACTATTCAGCATCACTGTCGAGAAAGGGAGAGAGCTGTATGGATGCACATGTAAGACTAGTTTGATACTAAGTAAGTTTTCAAACTGTTGTTTGGGACCAGCAATCTAAACCTAATTGAGTTTCAAATTTCGTCGTGGAGGGTTTTACTCAAAAATTACTCAAAGGGGTACAGGGATGAAAAACTACTTTGTAGTTGAGGAATGAGTTTTCATAACTAACGAACATGGCGTTGATAATATTGTTCACTATCTGCCAGATAGTTACCTCGTTTATAGGAAGTGAGATTGAAGCTGGGTATACTTGTTAGGAATTGAGATCGAAGTTGGGTATTTCGACAGGATTTGAGATCGAAGTTGGGTATTTGACAGGAATTGAGATCGAACGTTTGGCATTCCAACTGGTAGCAGATCAAAGTAGAATTTAAAAGATATATTTTTAAACGCTACTGCACGTAGATATATGTAAACGGAATCCGCAAAGAAAATGCGGATTCCACTAACAGTTTGCGGATTCCACTTATAATTTGGAGATTCCACTTACAGTTTGCGGATTCCGCTTACAGTTGCGGATTCCACAACAGCTCAATTCAGCGTAGATATATGTAAACGGAATCCGCAAAGAAATTGCGGATTCCACTTACAGTTTGCGGATTCCACTTACAGTTTGGGGATTCCATTTACAGTTTGCGGATTCCGCTTACAGTCTGGATAGGCGCACACTTTTGTGTCTGTATGTCCCTGGATTCCAGAGACAAGTCTTTAAATAAGTTCCAAAATATAAGTGGATTCCAATAACAAATATTCAGTGGATTCCGCGGTCAAATACCTAAAACGTAAATTTTGTCGGCACATTTATTTTGTCCCGAACAAGCAAATATAGCTGGTTGTTTTGGATTCCACAACTGTGAGTGGATTCCGCAAAATGTAAGTGGAATCCGCAAATACAAGTGGAATCCGCAAAATTTGTAAACATAATCCGCAAACTGTAAAGGAATTCAGAAATTTATTTAATGCATATGCACTTGCGGAACTTAAATGCAAGGATTTAACCTTTGTCAGCGAAATCCACGAACAAATCGTAAAATATTGGATAACTAAATCGATGGATGTCAACTTTAGTGTTTGCGAGCAGTTTTTGGGATCATAATTTTGGAAACACAACACGAATAAATTCACTGGTTTAATTCGTTAATTGGGCTAAGTCATTATTTGGTTGACATATCGCCGAATTAGGTCAGTATTTGAGATTCAGTATTTGGAATTTTGTGTTTCACATTCAGTTTCTGCGAGCCTGAACTCAAATCATTTTGTTCACAGGGAGTAAATGATCTTTTGAACTAATTTGAGTAAATTAGTATTGAATAAAAATTACCAAAACTTGAATTACTGCAGAATTAAGTTTTAAGTTCAAAAACACGAAAAATATATAGTCCTGAAAATAATGTCTTTACAAACTGAGTTCTGGTTTCGCTTTTTGAAAATATTTCAAACTGGCTAAATTAAAATTTTTTTATTTTATTTGAATGGCTTAAAATGAACTGATGAAAATATTTACAGGAAATGAGATTGATGACAGGAATTGAGATCGAAGTTAACCTTTGTAGGAATTGAGATCGAACTTGGGTATTTCGACAGGATTTGAGATCGAAGTTGGGTATTTGACAGGAATTGAGATCGAACGTTTGGCATTCCAACTGGTAGCAGATCAAAGTAGAATTTAAAAGATATATTTTTAAACGCTACTGCACGTAGATATATGTAAGCGGAATCCGCAAAGAAATGCGGATTCCACTTACAGTTTGCGGATTCCACTTACAATTTGGGGATTCCATTTACAGTTTGCAGATTCCGCTTACAGTCTGGATAGGCGCACACTTTTGTGTCTGTATGTCCCTGGATTCCAGAGACAAGTCTTTAAATAAGTTCCAAAATATAAGTGGATTCCAATAACAAATATTCAGTGGATTCCGCGTACAAATACCTAAAACGTAAATTTTGTCGGCACATTTATTTTGTCCCGAACAAGCAAATATAGCTGGTTGTTTTGGATTCGACAACTGTGAGTGGATTCCTCAAAATGTAAGTGGAATCCGCAAATACAAGTGGAATCCGCAAAATTTGTAAACATAATCCGCAAACTGTAAAGGAATTCAGAAATTTATTTAATTGCATAGGCACTTGCATATAATCGAGTATGATGGGTTATTGTGGCTTTTTATTTGAAAACAATCAATTTTAATCAAACTTGATTTAAATTTGCCATGAAATTGATTACCTGGGTTGACCTCCATACACTGAAATTCTTATAGTACAATTCCATCCATCAAGTGTATGGATAAACGCTTCTCATACAAATTTTGTACAATTTCAAAAAAACGGTTGAAAAAAGATATAAACTAATTTTTGTGGCTGTTTGATTCTAACAAAACAGTCTGGTGATGAAAAGCGGAAGTTTTCGATTTTCGAAAAAAATGCTTATGATACAATTCCCATATATGGAAACTGTATGACTAGCTTTTTTTGATGGCGACACACAAAATTTTTCGAAGTTTTTATTGAAGTTTCTCCAAAAAATTTTTATAGCTTTTTTTAACCGCAAGTCGAATTTTGTACTCAAACAAACGTTTTCCTCAAAAATTTTTTTGTGCGAAATTTGTTTTTTTTTGTGCGCGTAACGTCCTGGAAACACTTCTTTTTCGCTGAATAACTTTTTAAAAATCGCTGGAAACTCCACTTTTTTGTTTTGCATGTTTATGTGTGCCTTGATCAATGTCTCATATTTTAAAAATTTAAATTTTTATAATAATCATGTTGAAAAGTTTTGCAAAAATTTAAAAGTTTGTTACTTTCGTTATATCATTTGTGAAAGACAGCTCTTAGATAATTCAGGTCATATCTATGCATTGTAAATGCAAGACAGTCCAATCTTTGGTGGTTCGAGTAAACCAAGGTTTTTTGTCACTTGCGTTCGGTTGCGATCATAACCCAAATTTTTTAAGAAATTACATTTCGAAAAAAAATGAAATTTTGGTTTATGGAAAAACACTTGCCCTACAATTTTATTATAAGGAAAAATGCTGAATCATAGAGATATCATACAATTTTCTGTACGTATGTAATTGTATGGAACTGTATGACAAGAAGCCTCTCATATATGAAAATGGTATGATAAGTTTTGGTCAACCCGGCTACTTAGAGAGCAATTTAGTCAAAGAATATATTAATATATTTTCAGTCGAGAATAATGGTGGAACCTGATCTAAACTATATTTTATGATTGGATAAGTTAGATATTTTACCACTGTAAAGTATTTAATATTAACCAATCATGAACCCTCTAACTAACAACCCACTTATTTGAGATCGAAGTTGGGTATTTCGACAGGATTTGAGATCGAAGTTGGGTATTTCGACAGGATTTGAGATCGAAATTGGGTATTTGACAGGAATTGAGATCGAACGTTTGGCATTCCAACTGGTAGCAGATCAAAGTAGAATTTAAAAGATATTTTTTTAAACGCTACTGCACGTAGATATATGTAAACGGAATCCGCAAAGAAATTGCGGATTCCACTTACAGTTTGCGGATTCCACTTATAATTTGGAGATTCCACTTACAGTTTGCGGATTCCGCTTACAGTTGCGGATTCCACAACAGCTCAATTCAGCGTAGATATATGTAAACGGAATCCGCACAGAAATTGCGGATTCCACTTACAGTTTGCGGATTCCACTTACAATTTGGGGATTCCATTTACAGTTTGCGGATTCCATACAGTTGCGGATTCCACAACAGCTCAATTCAGCTATACACATGTCTCATTATTTGTTTATGGATTCCACAAACAGTTCTGGATTTGGCAAAT